TGTGGCTGGGATGGGGATGCCAGACAAGTGGTGAGGGTGCCTTGCTTGAGGCAAATTTGTCATTTCTTGAACTCATTTACCCCAGCACCCCCTGTACAGGTCAGTGTCACCCCTGACAAATTGCACAGGGCCACCAGTTTAAAACCCTTGCTGTGGATTGTGAATTTTGACCCTCCTTTAGTGTTAAACATTGGCAGGTGGCTGATAAAGAACATAATGGTAATGGGGTATGTTTTGGATGGATTATTTCAGGCACTTAAGCTAGGCAGTGAGGGAGCAGCAGGCCAGAGGAAAGCATGCCTCAAGCCTGTTTTGCCACCAAGTAAAATGCTGGCAGATCCACAATCTCAGTCCATGGTCTGTATGCTCAGGGGTTGTCTAGGAAGGACTTCAAATGGGTTGGTGACTTTCATGGCTTGTTCCAAAACATATTAAAGTGAAGTAAATTAAATTTCTGTATTGTTTTTTATTTTCTGGAAAACTTAAGGGCAAGATGTTTCTGTGACAAGCCTCATGCATTTGGAAGCACTGGATGAATGTGTCAACAGTTTGAAATCTGGGGTCTGACAAAGTGGCCTGTATGCTCGGACAGATGTTTCGGTGATGAAAAAACTTGCATTTTATGCCAACAGTTTTGAATATTTAAAGCTCTTTCCTGTAGAAGTCCTTAGTTGACTGAAGTAGTACCATGGCTCTGAAATTGTGTCTGCAACTGAATTCCCCAACTGAGGTTTGTCTTGAGACTTATGTGTGGGAAGCTCTGCAGTGCTGTGGATGATATCACAACTGGATATCACAACTGGAAACTCAGAGAATATCATGTTTATTACTTATTAAACTGGATGTTCCACCAGTCCTTTAGCCTCTGAAGGATATTAAGTGGCAGACACAGCACAAATAATGAAGCCTTTCACATGATAGTATGGGAACAGAAGGGCTCTGGTGGCTTTCAGGGCAGTACAGCAATTTTGGGATCTGTCTTCAGTTACAGGTTTTCTTTCATTCATGTATGGTTTTCCTAGCCTGAGATGTGCTTTTTCTCCTCTGAGTGTTGCTGTATGGGGTAATCCTGGTTCATCAGAAATTGTCTGCTGATTTAAGATTCACTCTGATTTGAGATGTTTGCAATGTAATTTTCCTTTGTACTGCATTTCCCCCCATTTTTAAATTTAATCTAAGCATGTGTGAGTATGAACCCGCATGAGACAGTTTTGCCATGCTGTAGCTGAATGGTGTTGCTGTACTTTCATCTCATCTCCCTGAATGGATCCATGTGATATTTGACCTCCTTGGGGCATCGTACTCTGCTCTTAATCTTTAGGGGTCTGTCCAGGCCTGGCTTTGGAACATGATGCTATCACCATGCTAAGCAGAGCTCATGAGCACCTGTCAGCCTGGAGCAGGCAGTGCAGTATATATGCCAACAGCAACGCTCAGGTGAAACATGTGGTCATTGCCATAAGGTGACCTGAGCCATGAGGGTAAGGTTTGAGCCCAGCTGCTGCCTTCATCATACACGTGCACTGCTTTTTCTTGTGTGCAGACCAGGAGGTTGCTTAAGTTAGGCACAGAGGAGTGTCACAGCATAAGGATTTTAAGCTGAAAGATGATAGATTTAGACTAGATACTAGAAGCTTTTCACAATGAGGGTGGTGAGGCACTGGAACAGTTTGCACAGAGAAATTGTGGATGCCCCATTCCTGGAAATGTTCAAGGTTGAACGGGGCTTTGACCAACATGTTAGAAGGTGTCCTTACCCATGGCAGACAGGTTGGAATTAAATTATATTTAAACTCCATTCCAAACCAAACCATTCTGTGATTCTGTCTTGGTTTGGAAAGACAGGCGTTGGCTAAGGAAGGCAGAAGCTTCCCCTGAAATGGAAAAAAAAAAAAAGAAGATCCCTTCCCTCCGAATTGTTATAAATTTGAAATTAAGGGGAGCTCTCAGGCAAAAATATCAGAGCAGGAATAAGAGTTCTTTATTAGGCAAGAAAAAAAAAAAAAAGATAAGATAAAATAAATAATGCAGTGAACAAAAACAACACTGACAGAGTCAGAATACACCCTGACACCCTGTTAGTCAGGGTGTTGGTAGCAGTCCAATTGGGAATTATGGCTGCAGTCCTCCTGGAGTGCAGGTGTGGTTCTGTTGGAGCAGTGATCCTGTAAAAAGGGGGTGTAGTCTTCCTGCAGTGGAAGAGGCAGCTCTTCCTCTGGGAAATCCAGTGCAGGAAAAGCAGTGCTGATGTTCAAGAAATTCAAGATTATATCCAGGTAGAAATGCTTGGCTCCTCCCTCTGGGTGGAGCATCTCACAATGGGATGCTGCAACTTTTCTCAGTCATGCAGTGACATTCAACAGGCCATTAACAGCAGATATCTCCCCAGGAGGGAGGATTGGTTTGTGGAAGAGATAAAGAAACTGCCCAATTAAGAGAAGATAATTGCCCCACCTCTAACAGATGGCAATTGAATACATTTTGCCTTGCAATCTAGGACAGATTCTCCAAAAAGAGAATTCAAGATTGTTTCTGTTCAGACACAGGCTGATCATCATGATAGAAATCTTATGTGTTCCACAGTGATATTTGAGCCAAGCTCACAGGTACCTGGTGAAGCAACCACTGTGGTGCAAAAGCAGTTGCTGTTCTGGGGAGGACACCCATGATGCAGGGCATTGGAAAACCCACTGCTGGAGATTTGATTCACAGCCTCTAGAGGCACTCAGGTCATCATCAGTACCCACACATGGGTCTGATTTAGCACATTATTTTAGATGACCAATGGAACACATGACCTCATCCTCTGCTCACCAGCTGCATTCAAGAGCTGGATGGAGACCTGCTTGTGGTCTGGCTAAAGATCAATGGTGTTTTCTCCGTGGTGTGCTGGTTGTAAGGTTTCTGAGTCCTGTGCAAGGTTTCTCACCCCCAGATGAAAACTGTGAGGAAGGAGCTGCAAGGGGTTGCATCTAGAGATGCAGCCACAACGATAGGACCGGCCTCTGAAACAAGAAGAGCCACAGAGAGACTGAGTTCTCAGCTGGGAATAGTGGGGATTTGTTACAATTACTAATGTAAGTGCAATAAAACGATGGGGTAAATGAGGGGGCAGTTTCTGTTTTCTATTCCCTTCTGTCTCCTTTTTCTTAAACACTTCATGACAAGGCTGACAAGGCCACTTCTCCACCTCCTCACAAGGGAGCATGTTGTCATTTTAAAAGTACAAATCTTTGGGAAAAAGAAAACAGTTTTGATTTAGTGCTGTTTTTTGAAGCTGCTGTGTGGGCAGGATGAAGTGGTCAAACTTTGGGCAAGATCAGTGCTCAGGATTTGATGCTACAGCATTAAGGTGTAAGGAAGGAAAACCCATCCCCTCTGCTTCTGCAAGGCCTGGGTGGTGTCCATGTGACAGCATTTCCCCAGAGTGGAAGGAGGTTGCTGTGTCCCTGTAACAGCGCGTGCTGATCCCAGCAGGGACATCGGTGCTGAGGTGTCACATCACACACCTCCCACTGGCTCCAGCGAAGTGTATTCCCAGAGCATGAAAAACACAACTCTGTGTGTGAGAGCCCAGAACATGCTGGATCCCAGTGGAGGATCCTGGGGAGAGGATGCAAGAGAGCAAGGACCGCCAGTGGCTGTGGGCTAGAATCTTGAGTGATGCTTCTCACTGAATACTTGTAGGCAAGCTGTGGCACTGATGCTGTAATAGTTAGCAGAGGGAGCCCTCTCACTTCCTGCTTTCTTGTCTCTTAATTCCCCTTGGACCCATCAGTCATGTCCTGGTGACACCTGGCAGGCAGCCAAGCACTTCTTTCAGAGCAGTTCTGTTGTCCGCTTCTCCTGCCGGCTCCAAGCCCCTACAGAAACAGGGGCTGGAAACAGTTGGATTCTGCTGCTTGGCTTAAATATTATGTTTGATTTATAATAAGGCTGTTGTTTCTTCACACTTTTGGGGATGCCTTTGCTTAGTCTGCGAACTATCTAGCCATGACAACAATCACCCCTCCAAGTGCTTTTGGGACAACACGTTGCTCTTCATAAATGTTGAGGGGTGACAGTCTCTGTGGCTGGTAGGCACTGCCTGCTTGGAGTTGCCCAGGGACCTTTTTGGGTAAGTCTAATGAAACATGAGGCTGTAAGCACAGAGTTGGATGCTGCTTTACAGCCTGGAAACAGTTGTTATGCTGGGTTATATTACCATGACCTTGTTTATAAAAACTGATGGTAAGTTTGTCTTCTCTACAAACTAATGGGGCTCCTCACAGCACGATAGAAGTGACCTTGAATGGGTTTTAAATACACTTAGGATGGTTTGCAATGTGTTAGAACATTTTGAGAGTGGTCAGGGAGCTCTATCAAGTCCATGTTGTTTGACCTTGCTGAAATGGCATCTTTAAATGACTTCTTTCCAAAATAATGAATCCTTTTAATTTCTTGGCTTCATAGAAAGCTTGCAAATCTTATTGAAATTTAGACAGTCTGATTAGGAAATTATTTAATGAAATAACACAATACATTAAAGAAATTTTCAGGAGACCTATGTTCCTGGCTACCCTGTCAAATAGTGGATATGTTGACACTTAAGATAATTGTGTTCCAATAGGAATGGTTTGACTGCTGATGGTTTTCCTTCTCAATAATGTAAAAACTAGGTCTTTTTCGGGGGGGGAAAGACCTGTCTGTGGTTTTCAACTGAAACCCTGTCTGTGGTTTTCAACTGCCTAGTTTTGTCTTTCATGAGATTTAAGAAAGTGTTCTACTGAAGGACAGCAAACCAGCATGCCTTTCCATTCCTGCTTGTTTACTACTTAAGCCCTAGTCAACTATGCAGAGGTATTTTTTATCACTTTACTCACTGCAGCATGAACTCAGTGACTGAGAAGTACAATAATTTGGTTTTGACTGGGTCATAATGTGCTATCAGAAAACCACCATTATATAGTTCTTCTTAAACTAATAAATATTTTTGTATTTCTTTGCTTTGTGATTTGCAGACTCAGCTGTTTGGAGTTTTACTTGCTGTTGCTTCAAATTTCCTCATCAGTGTCTCTTTGAATATACAGGTATGATATGGTTCCTCTTTATTCAGTGTTGTTTATATTTAGGAAGTACTTACATTGCAGTTTAGTTTTGATGAAGTTCAAAATGCAAAAATGCAACTTTTGTTGCATTTAATAAACCTCCTCTCTTTCATTAACTGTAATGTAGCAATGCCCTGCTATAGTTGCTAGGAGTTGGGAGTTGTTGGGAGCTCTCAGCCTGTTCTGTGCTGTGATTGTCATACAGGAATAGAAGAAACATTCACAACTCCTCCTCCTTTTAAAGCCAGAAAGAAATACGAGCTGTGAGTCACTTGTGGTCCCAGTGAACCAGGGAGTAAGGAAGGGTACTATAAGAGACAGTATCAAAAGCTTTGCTGAAGTCCAAAAAATTGCATTAACTGGCTTTCCTAGATCAGCTAGGTGGGTTACCCTGTTACAGAAGGAAATCAGGTTTGATAAGCAGAACTTACTGCTGATGACGCTGTGCTGGCTGTGACTGATGACTGCATTGACCTTGAAGTGTTTTTTCAATACCTCCCAGAATAATCTTTTCCATGATTTTACTGGTAATGAATTGAGACTGACAGGTCTCAATTCTGATTCCTGTCTGACTGACAGGAATTTTTCAGGGTTCTCCTTTTTTCACTTCATGAAAATCAGGACAATGTTCGCCAGCTTCCAGTCAAGTGGGACCTCTCCAGATTCCCAGTTCAAAAATCAAGAGAGATTTTGCAATGACATCAGCTCATTCTTTAAGGATTCTTGGATGAATCCCATGAGGCCCTCTAGATTTGTAGGGATCCAGTTGGAGGAGTAGATCCTGCACAAGTTCAAGGTCAGCTGGGATTTGATCATTCTCACAGCCATGGTCCTCCAGCTCAGAGCACTGAGACCCCCTTGGTCCATCATCTGTGTTGAAGACAGAGGTAAAGAATGCATTAAACACCTCTGCCTTGTCCATGTCCCTGTTTGTGAGGTGCCCATCCTCATCCTGTAACAGGCTGATGTTATTTCTATACTTCCTTTTGATATTATAAATCTGAAAAATCTATTTTTATTGTGCTCCACATTTCTGTCCCTCTTCAAGTTGAGCTTTGGCCACATGAATTTTCTCCCTATAGTGACAAGCTGCATCTCTGTATTCTTCCAGGTCACCTGACTTTGCTTCCACTGGGCAAACCCCTTCCTTTTTTGCCATAGACCCAAAAGAAGATCCTTGTTCAGCCAAGCCAGCCTTCTGCTTGACTTCTGACACTGGGGAATTGCTGCTTCTGTGCCCTGTTTAAAAAGTGACCAGCACTGACAGACCCCAGCACTACTGAAACATTTCCCAAAGGACTTTTCTAACTAGTTCCCTGAGCAGCCTGAAGCCTGCTCTCCTCATGTCCAGAGCTGAGGTTTTCATGCACTTTTCCTCCTGTCAACAAAAATTTTAAACTCAAACATTTCATGGTCTCTGTGGCCAAGACGGTGCCATTCACCACGTCACTCATGAGAACTGACAAGCAGCAGATCAAGGAGGGCATCTTTCTCAGTCAGCTCCCTGAGGACCTGTTCCATAAATACATACAGACATAAAGGTTTTTACAATATTGGACCCCAAAATAACTTTGGCCAATTTAGTTTTTCTTCTGCAATTAAGATAAAATACTCTGAGTAAACACTATTTCAATCATAAAAATAAAGGGAGGTGTTGCCCTTACAACTTTGGTAAAGCATTGTAGGGTGCCAATTATAAAATCCATTCTATTTTAATAATTAGAATACATACTCAGTAGAAAGTTACATTTTTCATTATAATCTGTATCTTGTAGGCTTCATTGTATTTTGAGGTCTTCTAACAAACTTTTTAAAGAACAGAAGACATTGTTATGTAAATTGTCCAGAAGTGTTTTTGCTAGCTAGTATTTTAGGAGTTGTACAGGTCTCATATAAAGCTACTTATTGCTTTTTCTGTAAAGGATGAAATAGAAAGTTGTGGAATATGAAAGCTTCTGTTCATAGTAACCCAATTTTTTAAAGCTAGAAGGTTCTTCAGTGATTCCCTTCTATTTCAACATCATTAGCTGGAAAATCCCATAGAAAGAAACCTGTTTATCCAGAGGAGGTAGGCAAGTTGAGATGACTGCTGCCTTTCCAACATGAGTTCCAACCTGCAGGTGGTTACAGTGCTAGGACAGGTTCTGGGAAAAACTCTGAAGTGGAAGGGTAAAGGTGAAGTGAAGAAAAGGGAAGGTGAAGTGGGAATTCAATCTAGCCATAATAATGAGGTTGTTCAGATTTCATATCTTTTGTCTGCTGAGGGTACTGGGTGCCAAAGTAGATGCTTTGCAAGGGATGTACCAAGGCATACAAGCAGACTTCTATTGACTTGTAATTATAACAGCCCTTGCTGGATTTGAACTATCAGCTTTTTAAATGCTGATTAGGGAAACCCAATGGCTCTCTTTGCCATTTGACAGAAAATTTAAACTGAAATTTTTTTATCCTTTAAATTAGGTCTTCATTTAGTAACTGTATCTTCTAAATATGAATAATGACTTTCCCTAGATCTCAGCATTTATTTTCACACTCCTATTAACTGGACAGGCCAAAATTTTTTTTGTTCTGTCCTTTTCTGACCATATAGTCCATTATCCTGCTTCTCTTCCCTCTAGCAGGTTGTCTACTAAAGAACAGCTCATCATTTGCAATGTATTTCAGCTGAGTTATAAAGAGCCTCCACTGAAATACCATTTGCACACATCACTGTGCAAAGAAGACAGACATCTGGAGAAAGAATGCTGTAGGGGAGTTGCTGAGCTTACCTTCCTGTGTTTGCTGCACATAATTTCAATCTCACTGTGCCTTCAAAAGTTAATCCTACAAGAATCTGGGGTGAAAATACATCTCAAGATTAAGTTAAGAATTTGTCCTATTTAATTTTGGCAGAAACTTGGCTTCTTGAATAATAATTTGAATATTATTTAATACTAATTTAATTTGTATATTTATTGGACTTTTAAAATTTCTCTGTTTATATAAATGGAACATCCATTTTGGATGGGTGGCTCAAGTTTTATTTCCTTTTGCTCTTTTTCTCCTTGGAGGGCTAAACTTCCTCCTAGAATTTAATCCCCTGAACACATTCCACAGCATGAAACTGCAGTAATGTGCTTCGTCTTCTCAACAAGAGCACTGACTAAGACTATGGGGTATTACAGACATTGCTGTTTGTCTCATGCTGTGTCAAGTAGCCTACAGAGAAGGGATGGGAGTATGAGGAAAATCCTTTACAACTTCTCTGGGCTCTGCAGGGGCACTTCTAAAATCAAATATCAAGTAATGGAGAAAAAAATTTCTTTTACCACCATTTGTATTGTAATAACTGTATAATTTGATTTCCACCTTTTTTGACCCATGTGCAGAAAGACTGGAGAGTAATTTGAGAAAGAAAATTATAATCTGCAGAATTAATTTGGTAAACATTGCATCATTCCCAGTAATGACACTTTCTTGATGGAGACTGCCTGGACTCTGTTGCAGAGGATCAGTGTGATCAAAGAAAAAATTGTCTTGCTATATACACGTTCTTGCTGTATAGCCAGAGAAAAAACAATTACAACTTCTGCCAATTATACCTTCTTCATGTAACAGGAAGTGTTGATGTATACTTGAATGTATGTTATACCTGTGCCAACTGTTTTTTCTTTAGGAAATAATGCTTTACTTATGATCTCCTTCTAAGGTCAAACAGGATACTGTAGCCAAATCATAAATTATATTTAATTAATTTAGAGTCCTCCCTACAGAAGATGTGATTAAGTGCTGCCTTTTTCATTTTGAAAGTATATTTGTGGTGAGGATAGGTTTCACAGACAGGAACACCCTGTTGTCAGTTCCCCCTGTCCCAGTTTGTTGCCGCAGTTCTGATCCTGCCTCGTCTCCTGCCTTTGAGTGTTTCCAGATCCAGAGCACAACTGCTGAGCTTTGCTTTGAGACAGGAGTAGATGTGTGCAGTGATAGCTAGGAAGCACTAGATAGTATTCACTTAGCATTTTTCAGGTTTATTCAGAGGCCTAATTTTTTCAGCCCTTTCTACCGTGGCTAAGAAAGCACATCTGAAGCAGCACTGAGTTAACACAAAGCTCTGCAACAACAAGCTCAAAGTCCTGTTTAAAAAGAAAACCTCAGAGCATCTGGAGTTTGAAGTTGACAGCCCCCCTTAATTATTCCACTTTTGTCAGATATAAGAACACAATGGAAGTCTTTCTACTCATGCCTGTTCCTAATAATTAATTTTCTAGAAATGCGCTCATCTCCGACTGGTGTGCCAAGCAGAGCAGAAGCCCTACTACACGAGCAGGCTGTGGTGGTGCGGGATTGCCCTCCTGGGGCTTGGAGAGGTGGGCAATTTCACAGCCTATGGACTCGCCCCCATTGCTCTTGTCGCTCCACTGGGATGTGTTTCTGTTATAGGTGAGACCATTTGCCATTTCTTGCTTGAGTATGTGCTTTAATCGAATGCTTGCTTCTGGCTAGAGGAATTATACCACAGAAACTGCAGCAGGAACACAAGAGGAAAATGTTAATGTCGTGGTTTGAAAAGAAATTATTCATATAATTACATGAGCTGACAGTTTGACAAAAACTGTCTACTTAAATCAAAGACTCTTCTAATATATTTCTTTTTCCATGGTTTTGTCTTTTGTGTCGCTGTGCTCTGCTAGCTCCTGCCCAGTGCTGTAAGTGTTGCCAGCTCTGCAAGCCCCCAAAGAGGGGAACTGGCATCCAGCTGCATGCTCAGAGCTGTGCTCTGATCCTGAGTGCTTACAACACATTTTCTGTTACCATCACTCCAAGTGGTTTCTGCTGCCTGTTCACTGCACATCGCCATGATTCATGTTGATGTGGACAAACTTGCTTGACACTCCATAGTGTGTGACAAAAAGGGCCTAGAAATTTACAAAAATGCTTCATACATTTATTGCCATTATCAAACATGTTCATTTGTTCCTTTATGTACAGATTAATTGGACTTTAGCTGAAGTGATATGATCTCACTCTTTACTTCATGTGGGTTTTTTTGTTATTAAGGTGCTCAGGTATGAGAGGTCTGTTTCTTTGACAAAGTAACATACATTTAAAAATACATCTTTATGTTGTGCTAGTGTAAAGCAGGGTAGACAGGGCAGTATTGTACAGAAGGTGTAAAAACAGGAACAGAGGCTGCAGCTACATCCCTTAACCTGGTCACTTCGTATCCACAGCTGAAACATCCAGGACTGAGAGATCTCAACAGTTCTGTATATGCTGGAGCTCATTTACTTGCTATTGGCAAGTGCTAACATTGCAAGGTCTGCAGCTACCATTTGCATGCTTGGAAGTGACATTGCAGTGAGTGATTCTCCATGGGAAGGTAGAAAAGATGAAATACCTTCCCAGTGGACTGCCTAGCTGTAGTGGAAGCAAGCAGCTAACAATACGTAGGTGCAATTTAGCAGAGAAAGAGGGAGAAGGAAACTGCAGGCAATTTGCTGCAGCCTTCAATGTTAAACTATTGCAGAATTTCAGATATAAAGCCATGTTAGTTCATCATAGTAGGAAAGAGTTCTCAAAGAAAGGAATGACATATTACCTGAGATGAAATGTAAATTAACATGATATATCCCAGTGTGATTTTGGTGGCAGTAGTTATATGTGTAATAATTGTAGGCATTGTAAGACATCTCTGAACATCAGAGAATATTGGTTAATCTCATTTGTTGTCCAAACAGAAGAAAATTAGAAAGAAAAAGCAAAAAGCAGTGAGTAGAAAGAAAAGTCCCTATATTTATTAAACTAAAAAAGGTGAGATCACATTTAGGGTTGATTTTTAGCTGAACAGATTCCTTCTTTGCTTCTGCAAAAGAAGAAATGTTGCATCTGGTGATTTCTTCATTCTCCTTTTCCCTTACTTACAACAAATACCAAGAAACCATTTTGCTAACTGTTATGTCTTACCAAAATTCTCATCCACTTTCATTTTTTTAAAAACTGTCCCAGAATGCTTATTCTGGAAGATCCAAGAAAGCACTTTAATATCTTATATTCCATTCCCATAAGTCAGCTGACAGTATCCATTTCATAGCCCAAACAATAGAAATATCTGAAATTTTATTTAGTCTAGCAAACAATCCCTTAAGGAAGAGCAAGTAAAAATCGTGAAGACAGCCAATTACAGCAATAACTTCCCAGTAACACTTCCTACTACAAGATACTTTCCTGTCTTCTGAAATTAAAGCCAGAGAGAGAGAGCATCCTTTCAATTTCAAAAGAGCTCTTCATTTAGGGCAATGAGAAACTGCCCAAGTCACATGTGCATCATCTGCTAACAACTGGGCCAAGGGTAGTTTAGGCAGCAGGTTTTCCAATTTATAAGATCAAGAAATATTTTTCTCATTAAGTTGTGACTACTTTTAAGTGGTGGAGGGTGGCCTTTGCAGAGTCTAGCTTACAGGTGTTTTTGAGGTATTGTTGAATGTGTGTATTTCATAAATTAATTTTTTTTAATGAATAAATTAAGTACTTGATAACAAACTCCAAATGCATACCTGAACCCTAAGTCCAACCTTCTGAGAATAATTTTGTTCCCAAATTCTGTGTCAACATGTCCCATATGGTAAGGGCTGACTCTCACTGACATTGGAAATGCAGTACATATGGTGTGCTGAGGGGAAATGTGCTTTGCAGTATGTCCAGTCACCTAGGGAATCCTCTGCAGGTCTCTGTGACTCTGGGTTTGCAGGGAGAGTTTCCTTTGATTGGGAACCAGGGTTTGGAGGAGGATAAGGCAGACTGGAGTCCCTACCCAGAATGAATTTGGGCTGTACCCATCATATATCTCCAGACTTCTGAGACGGGAAGCATCTTAAAATAGATGGAGCCAACATCTATTATGCTCTGCTACCACATTTAACTGCAACCAACTGGATTTTGCACTCAACCCGGTATCAATTAAATAGTGAAAACTTTGTGCCTCTTTCTATTGAGCTGGAATGTTCCAGTGTCTTGTTTTAAAAAGAATACAGCACCAAAGACTATGAATTGGCATGACACCAAGATTTTTTTTTTAATAATTAAACTAGAAAAATGATATATTTTTCTTCTTACACAGTGGAAGTATTTCTGTGTGTGGCTGCAATGATGCAAGCTCTACATCTGTTCAGGGTTTTAAATAGTTTGAGAAGACAGCAGTTGTTTTCTTCAAGAGGAGAAATTAGTAAATTTTTAATTTAAAAGTGGAGGAGTAATACATGTTTGATGTGATCATTAAGAAACTTTCTATACTTAAAAAGTAAAACTCATGTTTTACATGTGGCTTGGGTAATTTTAGGTTGCAGTGGTTTTTAGCTCATCATCTTTCTTTTGCCTGCAGAAATGACTTGGGGATTACTTGGGGAAAAGGTGAGGAAATGTCAGTGACATTGGAGACCATTTCTTCTGCAGTATTCATCATTCTGGGGGGAGTTGTTTTACACTTGCCTCACCTAGCCTGACCTTGTTAAGATCCCTTTGCATTTTTATATGCTCCTTCTAAACAGCAGTGGGGGGCTTCAGGCTTAGGAAAATTATATTCCTGAGGTACTTTAGGAAGTTTCTCTGTAGAAATGGATTTCTCCCACTCACTGTAATGTAGCATCTTTGTAGTCCGAGAACTTGGAATTCTGAGGACTCTGTTACTAATGATATCTAGGAAACATTCACCAAACTATTCTTTAAAATATTTGATTTGTACTTGTCTAGAAGATGAAAAAAAAAGGATTTTCATGCTTTTTCCTTCTTTCTGCAGTGTATATGTCCTATAATCCAGGTTCCAGAATTAAGCACACCTTAATGGTCTCTCTTTTGAGCAGTTTCTCAGATGGGGAAAAATGTTGCATGTTTTGTTCACCACTTTTCCAGTACAAATCTTTGATCATGTTAGAAATATCACAGGCTCAGTGTGCAAGACAGCTGTCAAGAGGTATCTGTAATGTCTTTCTTTGTATTCAGTGGAGCATTAATATCCATCATATAAACCAAGAACAGGTTTTGGAAGTCAATTATACGTAATGAATTTGTTCCCAGGTGTCATTTGCGCTGCAGCAATTAAATGCAATTAAATTCCTGACTCTGTGGCAGACCACAATAGCTTGTGTTTGGGGATGGATTGAAGCATCTTCAAGTTCTCAGTACTGGGAGGGGCCTGATTCACTTCAGCTTGGAAGACAGTCTGAGGGTCTGTTCATAAAAAGCATACTTTGAGGTCAGATCTTGAAATGTGACTGCCAGCAACTGCATTCCCGTAACTTGAGCAGTGCTCAACTGATTTAGGGGTAAAATCAACTGGGTGAACTTAAACTGCTTGATTAGATGGAAGCACACCCTTAAGTTGCATAAAATAGAGTAAATGCTTGGTCTCAAAGTGAAATATTGTTGCACAAACTGAGAGAGGTGCAATAGTCTTTGAATCATATCTAGTTCTCTTCCCTTGGTATTTCATCCAGACCACTGGTGAAATGTTCTTCTGCATGGGTGAGTTTAATTGCCTTCACCTGACTGAATCTGTTAAGCTTAAGAGAATTAACATTTAAAGCAAATATGAAATTTTGTGGATTTTTTTTTTTTAACTGTTGGAGAAGACAGTAGTGTAAGCAGCCTATGCATTTATGAGGAGAGCAGTAATCTTTTTAAATAGTGCATAAAGCTTATCTAGAAATCAAAAAGAGGAAAAGAAAGAATATAATAATATTTAAAATTATGAACAGTTGTTACAACAACTATTTAGTGCAAGATTTGACAGTAAAAACAAGAGGTAGTATGATCATTCATATTCATAAATGGCTTGAGTATCAGGAAAACAGCTTAATAGTGAAATACAGTGAAAGAATTTTGCATAGGAAAAATAAATCATGCACACACACTCGAGTTTTTTATGGCTGGATTGGACAAAATACACAGAATACATACTATGAATCGGTATGTATTTTCTATCTTTTACTTCTGTTGTGTATTATCCCTTTCTTAAAGAAACAAACAAAACCCAGTCCTAGCTGCAGCTTTCATGTCTAGGAAGCAGAGGAGTTATTTTGTGAGCTGGATTCTCACCATTCATTGTCTGCTCGTGGCAGAACCCACACATCACATTGCTCTTTATTTCTATTTGTGCTGGAGAAAACCTACATATGGAGATAATTGTAAATAATCACTCTCCTAAGAGAATGAGCAGCTGACTGAGCTATGTGTAGCACCATTACAGCCCTTCCTCAAGTCACTTAATTGCATATAAAATGTTTTAAATAATTTTTTCAATTTACATTGAAATTCACATGCTGCAATAAATACACATTCATTCAATACATGTGAATATATGATCATTCAATATATAATGAATATATTAATTCAATAATGAATGTAAACCAGCCTGGTTTACATGATGAAGATGAAGATTTTTAGATAACAATTAAGCTTCTGAACAAATACTTTCCCCCTCTTTTCCACCCAACAGTTTTTATTTATCATGATTTTGATGAAGTGTCAAATCGTATTTTCCATTTGAGTTTCATGAGCATTAAGAAAGGCTTTTTCATATAGACATAAGCATTTTACAGGACGTATTTACTTCATAATTTATGGATATTAATATAAGCATGCAATCAAGGCATGAAACAAACTCAAGGATTACATTAGGTTATGCTGGTTCTGTTATGTTTAATCCTTAACAGATCATCTCACAGATTTTCTGCCCTTCTCTTCATCTAGCAACCATTGTCACTGGGAATGGGAGCTGCATCTCTGCCTACTTTTGGAAGTTTTACCTTAATAATTAGTGAAAACCTAAAAAATTATTCTGATTCACCCAAAAGTACACAATTCTTCTCAGATGACCAGGGATGCCTTGATGACTTGAAGGCTGATAATCCAGGCCTAGGGCTGTCCATGTGTTGCATTCCCAAAGACAGCAGTTCAAAACCAGCGAGGCTTCAGAACAGTGGTAAATTGCTTGTTTTGTTCCCGAGCTACTGTCAGCTTACTCTTTGACACAATTTTTTTGTCTGGGTTTCTGTATTGTTGTATTCTATTGCTAACCAATTAAAAAAAAGCAAAAACACAAGAAGAAAACTATTCCTCACTTTGACACAGACCTCAATCTCTCTATGTTTTTTTTAAAAGAAAGCAAACAAAAAACAAAAAAAAAATGCAAAGATGTATTCATACTTTTTAGCACAGCAATTGCCAAGTTCCTCAGTCTATTCACTCACAGACTGAAACATAATGTTCAATAATTTATTTCTCACATCACTATAATAGTGGAGGAAGCACAGTTTCTGTGGAGGAAGAGCAAAAAAACTCTGGCATGGGAAAGGAAATATTTGGGCTGAGTGGTAGGGAATTAAACTTACACTGTGGTGATGAGGTGAAATCAAGAAGAAGTGGGCTCGGAGGAAAGTGTGGGGGTATAACATCACTGGTAGAGAGGAGGAGAGGTAGGATGATGTAAGATACCTCACCTGTGATCTGAGGGAGGGTGGGAAAGGAGAGGAGAGTCTGGGGAGTTTCAGCGGGTCTGCATTTAAGAACTGAATTTGGGATACAGTAAGGGCTTATATTCATATATCTGGTAGGCCTAGTTGTTAGCCTCTGGATGCCCACTTACTCCTGCAAAGAGTTCACGACTCCTAGGATAACTCAGGTTAGAAGGAACCTTAGGAAGTGCCTAACCCAACCTCCTGCTTAAAGCAGGATCAGTTCAGAGGCCATCCAGCAGAGAGGAGAGCAGAGAGCCTGTGTTGGCCTTTTGGCATAGTGTCTTAAACTGCCTCTTCAGGAGGAGTTAATATCTTAGGCAACTGAGTGCAGCTGAGGTTCTAAGTGGGAGCTAAGGAAGAGGAGCAGAGCTAGGAGGGCTGTGGGTTTCTCACTGGGTTCCTGGGGAACACTTTGATGTCTGTCATTTGTCTCACCAGCCAGAAAAGGCTGCAAAGCCAGCAGAAAACTGTCAACACCAGCCTGCATTCCCAGGGCTCCTTTCATACTCCTCCTCCCCGACCCATCTGCAGCAAGACAATCGGCTCTTGGATTCTTCGCTTTAATCTGATTCAAGCCTACCTTGAAAATTGAAGAATAGGGAAGACTACCCCAAGGTCAAACCTGGGAGCTTAAACCCCAGAAAACTCACAAAAGTAAAATTAAAATATCATGTTCTCTTGGCCATGCTACCATAACTTGCTTAAAATTTTTTCCTGGAGGTAACAGCTGGAGTTTGCAAGGCTTCTGACCAGTCATGTATGTCTTCTAGCATCTCATCAGGTCTGTGTAACTGTTCTCTGCTTATTCTCTTATATTTACCCCATTTCCTTTTCTTCTTCACTTGAATGCAACTGGAGCATTGGCAGCTTACTCCAGAGACAGTTGTGTTTTGTGTTCAGAGTATCTCCTGGGTCTCATTCAACTTGGTGTTGTACCTCTCTTCCTACTGCAGCTTTTTCTCTACTCCCAGATGGTCTAGTATGTGTTCTTAAAACCTCTCCTATTTTTAGATTCCTCTACATATTTCTCTACATCATAGAGTATTAATTATACATAGATTCTGTTAAACTCATAATCTCTGGTGCAATATCAGCTATCTCTGGAGACAGGGCTTGCTGCATTTGAATGCATTATTAAAGCAGAGTGAAAAGTTTCATTATCTGGCTGCATTCCAGCACCATCTTGTGCCCACTGCCAGCTTCAGAGGTTGTGATCCCTGTAAGTTGACATTTGGGCATAATTCATCTTACCCCAAATTGGATGCCAACAGTGGAATTGCATTTACTAGACCTCTGCTGAATGCAGAGAGTCCAGACATGGAGTACTAAAAACAAACAAACAAACAAAAAGAACAGCAAAAAAATCACTGAGGTATCAGTCCTTTAAGCAGCAGCTCTTTGCTGTGCCTGGTCTAGGTGAGTGGTTTGAGGTGGGATTTGTAAAAGCTATGAGAGCAGGAAGACAAAGCAGTAATTAATTTCTGCACTATCTTGGATGCTGCTGTTTCTTTCCTGGTTTTTGTACCTTCTTTTTTTTCCTAAACCTAGGTAGCTCTGCTATTAACAGTGTTGCCTGGATACCATCAGTGTCTTCACTCCAGCAAGTAATCACTGAAAAATTGAATAAAGAAAACCATATCAGGCAACCTAATTTCAATGAGGCATTTTCAGTTGAAGATCCTTTTATTGCACTTACTTGTTTGCACAGATCCCCATCACTCTTGCTACAGTTTAATTTTATGACTTCTGCTCTATCTGATCTTCTACTGACTGGAAAACAGACCTGATGCTGAATTACAGTTCTCTGTTTACCTCTTGGTATGAACCTCTCTAGATTTTTCTAGAGTACATCCACGAGCTAAACACAAATGAAATTTTCCATGAGAACAATAAAGAGGCAAAGATAGTTGTAAAAATGTTGAACTGTTATTTCAAGAATCAACCATGCTGTATAAAAGTAGGAAGCTCTTGTAGCAGCATGCCATGACTCTGTTTCAATGTGTCCCTTCACTGTCCCTCCTGAGCAGTTTTTCTTTGAGGTTTCTGAATGAATCTAACATTGCTGATGCACCTCTCACAGAGGACTTTACTCATCTCTTTTATCCAGCCTCTTTTTCTTTTTAGATGTAGATGTTGTGTGCTGGAATAGAGCCATGTCTCCCAGTCTCATCCATCCTAAATTCAAAGCCCTTATTTCCTCTCTAGCACATGTCCACACTGAGCTGCTAACCACAAAACCTGCCCTAACCACTGCTGCTGCTCATCTCCACCGTGCTGCCCATCCTGAAGAGACAGGACTAGGAGCTGGCAGAGGTCAGATGCAAGAGCTGAACCTGTTTCCCAGAAAACAGGGAAAATAATTTCTAGGACTCACTTCCAGTTTTCTCCTTCCTCAGAGCAAGTCACTCTGAAAGACCATGGGCAGTGCTCCCGTACACGTGTGGGGTTGTCTCCCTGTTTGTCTGCAGACGTCATGACCACATAGATGATACGAAGTACTAGGTTTTTGCAGTGACTTTCTTCTTCTCAGTTGTACTGTTGTTACTTTGCTTATAAGCCTCTAATACATTGAAGACTAAAGAAGCAGAATTTTATTGTTCCATGATGCAATTTGCCTTGAGCAGGTCCATACAGTGACTTGGTAGCCAAACGGGGAGTGAAACAGTAAGGTTGATCAGTGCCCAGTTTCCCTGACATTTCCACATATGACTGAATCAGAGCAGTTTAAGCAGTGTCCCTGCATGGGAAATAAGAAGGGTATTGCATCTTTTCAATTCATTAAGAGCCTGCAGATACGTCTGAAATCTTACAGAAAGAAAGTTTTGGTGGCTTGCAGGAATGGACTGCTGGCTGTTTATATCATGGTATGGTGCAACAACAACACCCATGAGATATATTTAAACTTGTCCCAGGGCAGGTTTTTGCCATAGCACTTGATATTCTAACAAATATATGTGTGTATATATATAAAGGTCTTTATATATCTATTCTAGGTAGTGCATTTATTTCTGTCTTTTTTCTAAAGAAGACCATGAGGACTGCTGATATATTGGGTAAGTAAGCATTTGCTAATTTAGACATGTGTGCTGCCATATGCTTAGCAAGCTGTAACTCTCACTCAGCCCCCCACCTTCACACTCCCACTTTGCCAAGCAAGTGTTTCAAGGCAGATACTTTCAAAATTGGGAAAAAGTGATAAAAAGAGAGAGATTCCTCAGTGCATGAGGAAAAGATTTTATTCCCAAATCCTCTGCTCTTACAACCATAATTCATTCTTTATGTATCCTTATTGCTCAAATTTATTTTCATTTTCTAATTTTGCCTATGAGGTTGTCTAGTATTATCTTCATGAGTACAACACAGAATTAATAAAATCAGGGAAGTTATCGAGTTACTTATTTGAATATAAGATTTTTTTTTCTTACTGCATAGCTATTGCACAAAAATTCAAGCTCAATTTAAATTGATAACTTCCCTTTGGTTTTAGTTTTATCACTTCAAAAAACAAATAATATATTTGTCAAGTGTTCAGTTGGGAAATGTGGTGTTCACTGTAAAAGCCTGTCAACTTTTTGTCTGTGTCCAAGGTTTTTTTGCATATCAAAACTGCCACCTTGAACACAGTAATAGTGAGAAAAAAGCATATTTTAGGGTTTGGGCTTTATACCAAGCTATCTCAACTGGGATAGTTCACCTGATGCAGGGCACCTGATATTTTTGTGGGTTCCTAACACCTAGTCTAGATTGTCCAAACTGTAGTGAGGACAGCTGTTCTCATGAATGTGTTGGAGAGATCTGCTCCGTATCGTTCCAGGAATACTATATATGATTTATTTAGGTTTGGAATCCAAGTTTGCCAGCTCAGCTGCTAAATTCAAAACCCCCCCTCCCTTCACTGATCATGTTTCCCTTATGGCTTTAAACACTGTGTGTTGCTTTAACTAGTGTTCAGCTGATTTATTTTATTTCTGTGAGTTTGACTTTGCAAGATGAATTTAACAATGTTGCTACATTCCATAAGAATGAGCTGTATGATGGGAAATATGGTGATGGTTTTGCAAGCACATAAATATAGTGCAGTTCTGCTTTTCCAAGGGAGCTGCTTGAGATAGCAGTGCCAACAAATCCCTCCGGATGTGCTTTGTTTTGTATTCCTGAGCCTTGCATTCCACTCCAATTTATAGGTTTACGAAGAATTTTAAAGATTATTTGATTTAGCTAATATCTTCCTTAATCCAATACATTTTACGATGTTCGGATCATCTCACTTCTATCTGGATACTTCAAGGAACATCTGTGTTTGTCACAGGCAGATGTCCACAAGGCAGAACTTGCAGATTTTTATTAAAAGCATAATAATGCAAGTTCGACCTTGAAAAGGGGCCCTGGCAACCTAGTGGCTGAACAGTCTATTGCAAGTCATCCTTTTATAAAACAGTTCATAGATCTGCAAATACAAGAGGGAGCAGCCAGAATGTTGGCCCTATGACAGCTTCACTTGAGCACTGGACTGGCAGCTGTGTTGCATCTGATGCTTCCAGGGTAGGTTGATGGCTGGTGCAGATCTCTGTGGCCACTCTGACTTTGGGACAGTCACGTTTGTTTGCCCTGGCTAATGACCCAACTGACTGCACTAGTAGGAAATATGTCCTTTCAGCTCAGGCTAAGTTTGCATGATGCACTTTGTGCCTGAGAGAAATACAAAGGATTCATTTGCCTTTGTCATACACTTGGATTTAGAATTGACAGTATTTTAAAATGCATTGTTGAGTTGGAACCCTAATTCACATGGCTTTACTGACAACGTTTTTTCGCATTTCCAAAATTATTTGAGTCTTTAATAAAAATTAGACTAGATAAGAGCACAAATGCAAGGCAATCCCATTGCCTAAATATAGATCTATTTAAATGGACTTAAATTTTCTTCTAGAAACTATTTTTGAATCAGCTGGTGATCAAGTATGACCACAATTACCAAATACTGTATTGCCAAGGTAACATGTCCTTTTCTTTAAAGGAGGAACACTGACAATAACAGGGATATACTTGTTGGTGACATTCATTCCAAATGTACCTCAGGAGCTCACAGCAAGACAAGTGCAGAACTACCTAGTGAGCTGGCCTTTTTTGGTATATTCAGTGAGTATCTGGTTCACACTACTCCCTTAATCAGAAAAACTGGGTTACTGGGCTTTTTATAGCATTATAAATTAGTGGTAGAAAAACTGCTCCTGAAGATAAATTGTGTGATTTTCAAAGGAGAGAAAGTCCCTCATCATCCTCCTGAATCCAAACTGAAATATGCAGCAATAAAATATAATTTTAAACTATTTTTCAGGGGAAAGTCATAATTGTGCAGGATTTACAAGAGTGGAAAGATTTTGATACTTGGGGAACATGAGGGAAAACGTAAATATTGGTACTGTTTAAATTTCCTATATATGTGTTCATGCCCCCCTGTCTGCCTGTACATCTAAGTTTCAGGTGTCTTCTGGAATGTGATGGAATTGTGCTTTGAAAAATCAGGCTATCTGTGTTTTTGGTCCTGCTTTTTGTCTTTCATATCTGTTTTGTTCCCATGTTGTTAAGCCTGGCTGAAAGGAGCTGAGATGGGAAGAGGTGGCCTACTTCACTGCCACTTAGGTTAATCTGAATATGAGACAGAATTCAAATACAAAAATACCATTTTGATTAAAGTATCTGTATACAAACTTCAAACACCATACATCTTCTTTGATGTATTTCATTAACATCAGGAACAAGACCAGAGTGAGTAGGATTAATTTCTGTCCCTCTTTTCCTCTAGAAAGCTGAAAATGTTTTCCTCCAGCTGAATGTAAAAGCTGCAATAGAGGAGCTTCAGAAACACCTATTTCCCAGAATAGGGACTCACTCAAGTTAGATTCTTAGTGCCCAGGCTTTTCTTAGTAGGAATCTCTGTTAGAAAGCCACTGAGTAGAGAGTTAAGGACCTTAATCTTTTAGCCAACCTGCATATTTTACATGCATCTAACTATCTATTAACTACTGATTAAACAGAAATTACATACTACCATAAAACATGTTGATCCTCTCTATCAATTAATTGTGCATTTTAAACTCTCTTTCAAGTTTTTGCCCTGTAAAAGATCCTGAAATATGCTGATTCAGCTCAGTGGAAAAAATGAATATTCATGCTGTATAAGTCACAACATCTACTTTCATTCAGGCAATACCCAAGGGTTTTGGGGTACTCAGTAAGGGTAGCTTCAGCATCTACAAGAGCTTCAAGAAGTTCATGCAATCAGCAGAGTAAAAGGGGGAGTTCAAAATAGGGATATTAATGCTCTTTCTTTTCTACTGAATATCACCCTCTACCCTGCAGTTTTACTTTTAGATGATAAAGTAGCCTGACATTTTAGACATTGATTTTAAATTGTTGATTCACCCATTTGTGTAGAAATGGTGGAGAAAGAAAACTCCCTATCCACACTCAGTGACACCAGAAATTTCTGTGTGATATAACATTTACATTTTTTTGAAAACAACATGTTCCTGGAAAAGGGTTTTTCCCCACCTGAGGACTTTTTTGACTTAACTTCAGGAAAAGTTTTCAAGAATACAATTGAATGTGTAGGAAGACTGTGCTGTATGCTTCTTACGAGACATTGTGAGGAGGTAGTAGGTAACCTCAGAACTTCATTTCTCCTCTTATCTCCTTTCCCTACCTTAGCCAGCATCTAATTCTGCATGTATAGCATAGGTTATAGGGGAGGATGGAGCAAATACAGAGCAAATCTTGACTCAACGATATATCAAACTTTATGTGTTACTTCTGTTCCGTGCGTTCATCTGTGTTGAGCTCCCTCTGACCAAAGAAAGGGGACGAGCGAAAGGCTCCACAAGAGACAGAGGTATCAGCCTGATTGCCCTCGTATGCTGCTGGAAGATCAAGCAAACCCTGCTGTAAACATTCTCTTTGGGCAGGGAATAAGCTCTTCAAAACTGGTTGTAAAATGCCTAGCACAGGTTGGCTGTTGAGATATAAAAAAGTGCAGCAGAAGCTGCAGAATTTCCAGTATAAATATACAATGAGGAGACAGTACAGAAGCATAATGCAGTCCAACAATCTTTCTAAAAGTAGCCCCAAAGTGTGGTCTGCTGAGAAATACAAAGCTCCAATGGTACAAAATGTTCTCTGTGGGTGGTAAACCATCCCCATGGCACTCCACTGGTATGTTCTGCAGAAGTAGCCTCTAATTCCCACAAGACAACTTTGAGTCTGCAGTAGCATAATTATGTCTGAGCAAGAATGACTACCTTAGCTTGTTTTTTTCTCTTTTGCTTATGTGCACTTAGAATCTCTACAGAGGACATAAATCATAGATTAAGCTGTTAGGTTTCCCTAAACAGAAGCATAGTAAGAATTGGGTTGTTAATATTTAATCTCTGCAAAATCAGGTTCAAAACATTTCTGCTTCTCTTTTGAAGTGCCTAGAAGACCATCTTGTATATGCCAGAAAAGCATTTGAGGCAGCCAATGTGGTATTTTGTTTTGGTGCCTTCTGGTAGAGCTTAGAAACATGGAAAACATGATTATTAAATAATGATGATATGTGGGCTTGAGGAGACGTCAGTAGACATTAGTTGTAATAGCAAAGATGACTGTAAGCAGGTAAAGTTCCTTCATGTCCTCTAAACAAGAATATGTGAAGCTTCCCATTCCTGGACTTCATATTTATCACTACCACAGCTATCAGTGATGAGACTAAGTGATGTTTTGGGTAGTTCTCAGAAGACAATTTTAGGCAGCAGCTGGGGCAGCCCAGCTGTGTGAGGCCCTGTTAGGAGCCATGGACTCTGCTTGCAGTGGAACTTAATTGTCACAGACTCTCCCTTGTCTTCTGATTAAAGATGACCTGTATTTGGGTCACCAAGTGGCAGAGAACCATGGAAGAATAGTTAGGCTGCTGGACAGCACTGAGAACTAATTGTTTGGATTTCCAGCTTAGTATGTGAAACTTGACAGAGCTGAGTAAACTTAAATAGCAGCCCTGAAAAGCAAACATCATTTATCTCCCTAGGTCTGGCCACAGGACTGTCATCTCTGGCTCTACACCATGGCTACTCTTGGGGTTTCCCCAGGAGGTAGAGGTGGTGACACACACAGACCTGTGCACCCCTTCCAGAGCTGCCATCAGGGACTCCAGTGTCCTTTTGATCATTTTGCTTGGCTGTTTCCTTTCAGATGTGTCTTCTTGGTGGGTTGGTTTGTTTTTAAGCAGGAGAATATCACAGTGGAGCTTCAATGTAGCTTTAGCAGGAGAAGAGATGACAAAACAATGAGGACCAACAGAAGGCTGATGGGCAGAACCAGCTATGATGACCTGGTTCAGTCAAAGCTGGTGCTGCTTGGCACTACCTGCCACTCAGGGGGTTGGACTGAGGTAGAAGAGGGAGTGGAATGACACAGCTGCTGTGATGGACCAGTTTGAGTCAGTGACTGTCCCTTGGCTTGTTTTTGGATGATTGTTCTTGCATAGTTTGAAATCTCAGTGGCAGGATAGATGATGGTGCTTCCCCCTGCTGCGATTGTCTAGAGGATATAAAATGAATCAATGTAGCTGCCTGCAGTAGGGCTGTCTCATGGGTTTCTGTACAACCTGTGGTAGCCACACCAAGGGTCTGGGAAGAGTGACTGGTGCTCAGGTTTGCACGGGTGAGGGAAGCAGAGTTCACAGTGCTGTTACCTGGTGCCATGGCCCTCCTGTGAACTGGTGTGTCATAGAAGAGGAAACCTAGGGCATCTCTGGGACTCCTTTCTTAACATGGGTACCTTTCTGAGTGGGGAATATTTTCTTATCACAGATTTCTTCTGTTCTGTTACCAATTGTTCCCTGTCAGAATAGCAAATGAAGCTACCTGGTGGCTGTTGTAGCTGCAGCCTGATAATGTGATATTCCCCTCTGGCCCTAAGATGTGTTTGGCAGCAGCACAAAAAGCAAAGCTGCCACCTTTACTTCTCCTCTCAAGTCCCCTCAAAACCCTGTCATGGTTTTCAACAGGGAGGCCAAGATGAACTCACCTGTCTGCAGATCTTGACATTTCTTGTGCCTTGGTTCCTGATTTAGATTTACCCAGTGTTGCACTGTTGAATAAAGCTGGAGAGGCTGGCCAAGTTACTTACTATGACACCTGAGGCAAAAGCCTCTTTGGTGGCCAAGCTGGAGGCCAAGCTTTCATCTCTGTGTGCAAGACTGGTGGGGAGGGACATCAGTCTGGGGGAAGATGAGACCAGAGCTTCACAAGAGATTGTGAAGATTTTTCAATTAGGATTAGTCTGGTAGTCCAGGAATGGTTTTTTGGGGTTTTTTTTTTTTGTTTTTTTGTTTTTTTGTTTTTAATTAACCCACAGCCAAATGCTTTATTCTATCCAACACATTTGAAAAACAAACAAATAAACATCAACTGAACACCCTCTCCCGCTCAACTTTGTTGTTTTGGTTTTTCTAATCTTGTGATAAATATTTGACATTTTTAAAGAAAGGTGGTATAAAATCCAAATTTGTGTTCTTCATGTTTTGAAATGCAATTGTCTCTTGGTTGTCTTTGGGAGCAAGGGATCAATGTGAAGGTAACTAAAAATTGAATTAAAGTATGATAATGTTCTGTTAATATTTTTAAGCACTACTGAATTGGGGAGGGTATAAATGTGGCAGAGAACTTTAGTAATTGGGCAGAGCTGACAGCTTTCCTGCTGCAGTCACTCTCCAAAATGAGAAATGGGCTACTTACATTATATAACCATCACTGGTAACTGTTCAGTCACCTCTTTGGGAATTTCATCAGCACAACACCCAGGTACTTTTGAGTCTAGTGCTGCTTTATGGTGGCTGTTGGTTTGAGAGTGAAGTGCATTATAAAACATAAAATAGTATGCTGGTGACAAAACCAATGAGATTAACAGATGCTTCTATGATTTGCTTTGCTTTGTTGGCAAAAAATAGCAATGATGAGATTCAGTAATGAGGACAATTTCATTTTCTGTCTTATTTCCCCCATTTGATTACTTTCTGACATGCACAAATGAACTTGTCTATCTTCATGATGTCTCTAAGGCTACCAGGCTTCTGAGCACCCCTTAATGCAGAGGTGGCTCTCTCCTGCTTTCATAAGTCTTCTGAGCTTCACAGAAGCTTCATGGCCCTTGCCCTTGCTCTTCTCTTTAGGCATAGAGGGATATTTGGGCAACCCCTTGGGGTAGGTGGCAAAATACCCATGCTTTTGAGATGGCAAGAGTTACTGAGGGAATATGCAGAGACATATGAACAGGAAGTCAGCAAATTTAGCTGTCACATGTTATTGAAGGAACAAAACTGGACCATCCACGGTGTAGGTGGATCTGCTTCAGCATCTCAACATGTCCAGTAGTGTGGTCTGCTAGTGTGTCATTGAACTTTTCAAGGTAAGGTCCTGGCAGGTACCTGTGATTTGAGAATTACTGTCTGAAATAAATGCTTTCCTCCTTATGATGTATGGCAGAAAATTTGGACAAAGTCTTGAGGGGAGTTTTTAGTAGGAATGGTGAGAAGAGCAAAGAGGGTAGCAAAAATAAGCTTGCACATTACAAAGACTAAGTGATATTAGGAATACTATAGCTAAAATAAGAGATTGCTCTTTCTTTAGCCAAGTGCTTTATTTGATAGGATTAATAGACAGAGTTTCTGTAAGTATTATTATTTACTGATAAATAATGATACCTTTACACTCACATTTAAAAAAGTCTCCTCAGTGACAAAATATAGATAAAAGTACAGAATGAAAAACAGAAGATATGAAAAATGCTCAAAGTTTAACTTTTGCTATAACAGGAAAGATAAATCACAACAGTTGTTTAATAGCTCAGTCAATAGTTATTTTTTAGCAGAAGACATTTTATAAAGCCATTCTTTGCTTTGAACATACAGAGCAGCAAAAATGAATGCGAAATCTCAAAAGACTTAGAATGAAGCATCTATTACGTGGTTTCACAGCTCTAACTTTCTTTTCTTTTATTTTCAGATTTTAGAAATTCTAATATTCTGCATTCTCCTCTATTTTTACAAAAGAAAGGCTGTGAAACACATCATGGTTTTGTTAATGATGGTAGCTCTACTGGGTAAGAACATATTATTCACTTTAATGTTCCTGTCTGCTATTTGATAATTCCTTGTCACTCCATCTCTCCAGTTTAGAGTAGAGCCATTTCAAAGCAGTGTGCCAAAGAAGAATCATTGAAATATTTGACATGATTTTTACTGGGTTCTCTTTTTGAACAGCTGATTATTAAACATAGTTTCTATGCTTATTACTGGGACTATTTCTTTTTACAGATACTCTCAAATTAATATGCTATGTGCAATGGTATTCTGAAACTTGTATTAAATAACAAAGTTATTTAGGTTTTGATGCTGGGAAAATGGACTATTCAAAACTTTGTTTTGGAGAACAGGCTGTGAAAATCAGTTCTCTAAAACAGCAGCTGAAGACCTTGTAAGCACTCTCTAAACAAATGCAGTGATATGCTGTGACTGTACAACTTTTAATTATCTATGACTATTTGCATATGCAACATTTCATATTTTACCACCTTTCCTGAAAAAAAACAAGAACTCAGTGGGCCACTGAAGTGTGTTTTCTATCATTGTCACCACAGTCAATAACCAGGGAAAATGCAGGAGATCATTTTATCAGCATCTTTCAATAAAATTAAACTTGAATCTGTTTTGAGAAATGTCAGGAGTTCATCTCTAAAGCTCCTATGCTTGCAGGGTTATATCAAGAATTTTCACCACCCTGTGTGACAAATTCTCCTGTCCTTGTCATTTCTCTGTGAAACCCTCATGGGACAGAAGTCTTTGGTTCAAGTGAAAGGTGCCATTGAAGTTAAAGGTTATTTTTTCTCTGATTTCAGTGGGTGCATGTATCAGTCTGCAAAGACTTACATTTCTAATGGGTATGACCATGAGGGTTTTGATAAAATAGAACTTCACTAAAGTTTGCCAGGTACAGAAGTTGGATTTAACTGAATGTAAAAACCCTCACAGATTTATTAACTCTGTTAATTCAAGGTAAAAACCCTGAGTGGTTTCTTACTCTGCTGAAAAATGCAGACTTTCAGAACAGCTTTTTGGGGACAGTTTTCCTATGTAGGTTTCTCATCCCTAGGAACATTAGGATCGGTAGCTCTGCAGAAGCATTGCAGGATTTCCTTGCTCCCTGCATGAGGCAGAGATGGAAGAGCCCTGGAGCCTTAGGTCTAACTGCTTTTGGTTTGGAGGAGGGAAGTGTGAGTGTGGCTATCCCCAGCTCCTAGCACAGAGCCTTGGAGCTTTGGCAAAGCTTGCCTGAGGAGTGTGAAGCACTGTGCACTCCTGAGCAAAACTCCAGGCAGTCCTGGACCAGGTCCAGGTCCTCCTTCTGCATATCTGGAAGCCTGAAAATTTCCAGATGTGTTCCTACACATCACTGCTGCAGTTCTGGGCAGGCTCACCATGACGCTGCTCTGGGCAAGCCCTGGGGGAGCTGGGCAGCTGCTCTGGCCAGCCCTGCTGGCTCTGCCCTCGTCCTGCCAGCCCCGGGCTGCCGCTGGGAAAGGGACACGCTGGGAAAGGGACACTAACTGCGGTCCCCTGGTTTGGCTGCAGTCAACCAAAAATACATTTCAGCTGGAGGCTGCTGAGGTTTTTGTAAGCTTATGAGGAAAAATGTGTCATTATTTCTGCTCTGTTAAAAAAGACACAAACAAATCGTGGTTCACGGGACCTTTTGAAATACTGACATTTCCCTTGAGCATGACACTCAGAACTGCATCTGACTCTGGTTCCTGCAGTTGTCCTGGATGCTGGCAGTCCCTACAAATCTACACTTAGAGCACTTTGGTCTCTGACCTTTCTGCTGAGTTAAGTGATGGAGGGGCTGAAAATTGTCCATTACTTTGCTCCCAGCTGTGTGATGCTGGCGCTGCCCTTGCAAGGCTCTGCCTGCTGAAGGGGTGAGAGCTCATGGAAGGTGATACAGTCCTGGTGGATGTTCATACAGACGTAAATTAAACGGGGAAAGATTTCTTTAGAGAGAAACCTGTGTTTCACTGGATACGCAAGCTACTTTCACCATCAAGAAAATACAGAGGTGATCAAAAAATCTGATAAAGTTTTGCTTAGTACAACTCAGCAGATTCATTTGGAGAGAATCATCTTACCTCATGTATATGCTCAGTTATCATAAATTTGGGGGAAACAGATTATAGTGGGATTTCAGAGGTTTCTGCCCTAACAGCTGGAAAGTGACATCATTTGTCATACTAGCTTTGAGGGGAGGTCATTCTGACAGAGAAAACAACTCCTGGGTTTGAAACTCATTTTGGAGTTACTTTAATGAAAAAGATAATTTTACTTCTCAAAGAATAAAAACCAACCAAACCCCCTGGTTCTTTCATTTCTGTCTTGTTAAAATTTTAAGGCGTGAAAATTTCCCTTCCATCAGAAGAAGAATTTAGCAATCTTTACTTTTAGCAAAACAATTTAAAATACTAATTTTTACCTGTAATTGTTCTTTTAAAATAATAACTTCCCCATGTTAGAGTGCAAATCTCAGTTTTATGTTGATGTCTTGTTGGGGCTTGAGTGTATTTTTGACTTTGTATCATAGCATTTGCACCACTGTGGGCCAGTGTTTGACCTCTGCTCAGTTTTACAGCTGTGTTTGTTAAAGCACTTCACCTGTTTCCATTACAGAGAAAGAAGTGAAGTGCTGGGGGGAAAGGTTGTCATGAAAACAGTGAATTTCTTGGTGATGAACAGGATCATCACAGGATGTGTGCAACTCTTAAACTCCTCCTGAACTTCTGGACTATATATAAGAAAAATGCTTGCAATCAAACCCACAAACCTGCATTCATTCTTCTTCCCCCTCCTTTTCTCCCAACCTTTGGCCTGAACCTTTTGCACAGCACAGGTCTCCTTGCCAATCTGAATGTTACAGAAGGATGAATCAGACCACTGAAATCCAACACTCCTCAGCTCTGCACAAGGGTGGAACTGGATCTCAGCTGGGGGATGGTGCTCCTGACAATTAATTACCTTTCTTCAAAGGTCATTCCTGCAGCCTGCTTGAAATTTTTAGGTTTTTTTGATTTGTTACATTTTATTTGCAATAATCACAGACTTCTTGGATTAGCTTCCACAAACCAAGAGCTTCAAAAGGAAATCTAGAGTAATTCTTAGCTAAACTCAGCCCTTTTCCTAAAAGATTTCTCTTGCAAAACCTCTCTGAACTGGTGACATGTATTAAAATCATTGCCTGCTGTCTGAAATTTGTTTGTGGTGACACGATGATAGTGATTAAATGGATTGACAATACACTACTGAAATACTCTTTCTGTGAGATAAATCCAGTAAATGGTCTCAAGAGTCTGGCCCTTGAAATGAAGTGCAAACCCTTGTGTTGTTTGTCTGCTCTTCATATATATATATATATATATATATAATGCATGGGGAGAGTTAGGTGCTTTGTGATGTGATCCCAGAAGTCAACTTTGTCCAGCTCCTGTTTCAAAAGAGAAATCCTGAGGATGATGAGTTATTTGAAGCTGCCAGTGACATATGCAGGCTGCTATAAAGAGGCATCCTAACTGCTTTGAACAGATAGCCAGACCTCTCAGATGTCTCCTGAATACTGTAACATGGGCTTCAAATTAGCTAAATAAAGTATGTGTGGAGTTAAACAAAGTATGTGTGGAAGATGTGGAGGCTCTTGTACCACCTTCAACTGGGAGTCCAGTGTGCTAAAAAGACTTAAAGGCAAAACAGAAAGCATACTTGGATCTAAGGCCACTGAGCTTAGACAGGAGCTTAGCAAGCATTTATAGAATCGTATACTTGTTTTAGGTGCCCAAATCCTTCCTCAGTCTTATTTTAAGAGATCAGGCCTGTGACCCTGACCTGGGTCTTTGTCCTCCATCACTGATGCACTGAAGTCACTGCTAATCTGAGTCCTGCCCTGCTAATCTCTTCCCTTCCCTTTCAGCATCACTGACTGTCATTGCTGTTAAGGCTGTGTCCACCATGATAGCACTTTCTGTGAAGGGGAAAATGCAGCTAACTTACTCCGTTTTCTATATCATGAGTGTTTTAATGGCAACTTCTTGTGCTTTCCAAATCAAGTAAGTAAGATTCTACTTACTTGCTAACCTTCATACATGTTTCATCTGACAGTTTTATTTGGGACTGATAATGATTCCAGATACAAGTTGCATTTTAAGGCAACAATTTCTGGCAGAGCCTTGACAGATGCATAAATTGCCTCCAGCTGATTGTATTGTTTGTTTAAACTTTAGTTCTTAGTTTATAATTGATTGTTATGGACACCACCTCCTCTCATTATCACCTTCAGCAAGGTCGTCCCAAATTTACTTGTCTAGTTTTGGCACAGATCTTAACACACTAAGTGAAATTTACGCTTATGTAGTCATTTGGGTGTTACTTTTAGAAATCTTTATTGCTGAATAATCAAATTACCATGATTATCCTCATTATTCATCTCTGTTCCCCAGCTTTATGGCCCAAGTCAGACTGAAGAAGAGATTTTACCCCAACTTTCTCCCTGCCTCTGTTAAATCTGCTGCACTTCGCTATCCTGCATGACTGTACCTTTCAAGTTTCCCCTGCAGGCCTCTGGTCTGTGAAGTGATTGCTTTATGCTGCCTTTGCAGATTGCTGGGGGTGGCAGCACAGTAAAATATGTCTTGCAGCTGAACAGCATCTGTTCCCTTTCTGCCTGTCCCTCTGCTTCTGGTGCTGATAGCAGCCTTCAGTAATCTCATCTAGACTGCTCCAGTGTGAGCCTGAGTAGTTACTTGCATGATTATTTTCCGGTAGAAAAGCCAACCCAGCTTTTTCATGGCAGAACATACCATTCCCATGTGGAATCAGAAAGTCCATGCATTATTGTGCACTGACTCTCCATGGCTGACTCAGGAACTCCCCTGTAACAGATTATAAAGTGATTTACATCCAGCTTGTCTTCGCTGGGAGAACAGCTCTGGGCATTTTCAATAGGAAATAAGAGCTTAGTAAATAAGAAGCTGCTGAATTAACCTCTCCATCTTGTAATTTTTTTCTTTCTTTCCTTTGCTGGCAAAAATTAAAGCAGAAGTGAAATGTACCCATTTCATTCCCTGGGCTCAGCGTCCCTTTCTTTCTACTTTTTTGGATGCATTTTCTAACAGGGACAGTGCTGTCAGTCTAAATTTTTCATTTTATTTGTTTTCTCTCTTATTTTCTATGACTGTCATGCATTAGCTGAGAACAGCCTGTGCTGCAACAATCTCCTGGATCCAACATCAGGCCTTACTATCACTGTTTTAGTCCCCGTGACCAAATTTGTTGCAAATGGGAGAAAATAATGAGGTGTTTTCGATGACTTCAAAATCCTGACTATCCTGTGGATATGTAGGATTTCTTTATTTTTAAAGCACCATGGAGACTGTTCAACAGTTGCTAAAATAACCACACAATTATTTTAATGGCTAAAACAGATCCAAGCTTGGATTTTTACTGTGTGCATATATTGCACAGTGAAATGTTCAAGTGTGGTTCTTTTTACAGGCTTGAATTTAGTCTGCAGACTCCTGATTTTTCTCTCTGAAATGACCATTCATATGACATAACAGACTATCTACAGGTGCATCCACGATGTCAGCTCATGATTCATCACTCTATGGGTGGATGTTGATAGCTCTGGTCTCTGTACAAGTGGGTTTTAATTGTTTTGCCTTTTTGCAGATTGTGCAGGCTGCTCCATGGCCAGTGTCTCAGTCCTGCAGGTCTGTGTGCAGTGTATGCTCCTGTGGTCCTGTACACTCTTGCTCATGATTCTGATGAGAGGTTTTGTTGCCTTTCTGAAGAGCAGGGCAGAGAGTTTCCAACCCAAGGAGCTTGAAGCCACCTTCAGAGACTTTCCCTGCAGTACAGGGTTTTTCTGGGGTGTGATTGCAGGGATAAACATACAAATAGGTGTTTCAGCCAAGCTGGATTGAGCAGTAGCAGCAATGTGGACTTCAGAAAAGGGAAACAGTTTCTACAAGAACTCACATGTTCTATCCATGATGCCAATGTACCCTTACACAACCTGTTTGATTACACCAACTTGTCCCTGGCTGCCTGCAGGCAGCACTGCTTCCAAGAACCAATGCAGATCATAAGCATTTCTCCCTTATCTGTGGCAGACAAAAATTTTCCAGCAATGCTTCAAAAGGATGTCCATTGAAAGCCTATGGCCAGAAGAATCCATGCCAACCTTCTTGCTTTCACCTATTCATTTGTACTCTGCAGATCCAAAACCAGAAAGTAAATTCAGTGTGTGTATGCTGTCCAGGGCTATTTGCTATTGTGGTAAGAAATGGTCACACTTATTATAAAACTGACAAGAAGTAGCTTAACCTGACTTAAAGTGCAAGGAACCTCCTGTAGGCATGAGATACAATAATGCTTACCTTTCAGGTTCTTGAATCAAGCAATGCATCTGTATGAAGCAACAGAAGTTGTCCCCATTAATTTTGTGTTCTTCACCACCAGTGCCATCATTTCAGGTTTGTTTCTGACCTTCTTCATCTACAGAAAGATTTTTTAAACATCAGAGTTTCAATAATAGGAACCCTGTGAATAAGAACCCAAACCAGTCATATTTGTCTTCACAGGAATAAGTTTTTCCTATGTCATAGGTGTTTAAGTTTTGAAAAATAAATAATTTCACAACTTCTGAAACAAAATAAATGGTAGGGTCTTAGAACTAGATCATCTTTAAGGTTCATCCCAACCTAAATAATTCTATAATTCTACAAAAATAATCAAATTCTAACCTTTCCAAAAGAGATTATGTGTGATTCACTGTACCTTGCTGGTTTACTAGAAGTACCTGCATTTATCCTAGCCTCATACTGACATCCAGTAAATGCATTTACCATGTGCACCCCAGTCTTTCCCTATACGAACTGGTAGAGTAATTTTAACAGCCTGGCAAACTACTCAAATGACAACCAGCTGTGCTTCATAGTAGTTAGTGTATATTCCATTTCAGAAGGTGGAATTCTGGGTTAAGTGAAGGAAATAAAATGACTACAAAAATTTTTAAGCATTTAACATTTTATTCTGGGTGAGAACTTTGAACTCAGCATTGTTAAAGAGGGACTGCAAATCTTGGAAATGGTGTGCAGCGTAAGAACATGAGCTGGGAGGACGACTAAGATGCTGTATCAGCAATGAGCCAAAATGATCATGTTGTTAGAACATTTATGACTCATTTTAACACACACTGGGGGCTTTCCTGTCATTGCTGTGCAGGAGTTTCTCATGCAGAGCTGCCATTAATGAGAAGGGGAGTTAGCTTCACACACAGATTGCCTCAACACCTGTGTTAGAAGAGACTTACGCTTTGTGACCAAGAAGAAACTTGTGCCAAAAGGGGGTTGTGTTCCTGTGACCATATGGGGAATTTGGCCTGGTGCCTCCTTATAAGATCAAGTACCTATTCAGGAATGGCTTAATAGCTTTGAGAGTGGATACACATGCATTTGCACTAGGTTAGTTAAACCAGTGTAGGGCTTAGAAGAACAACCTCTGCTGAATCTTGCTGGAGTGCTCACAGAAAGTACCTGGTGTCATGATTCCCCTGTCCCTAGTTACAGCATTCAAAGACACACTCACATTTCAGCCGTGCTGGGTCCCACTCTGGTGTTTCTAAGCAGAGCTGTGCTCATCAGTGGTTTAAAGCTAATATACTTGGCTGTTAATAGGGGCAGCTGAGATCCAGATACACATCTGGTTCTGTCACCTCCATTACAGAGGTGCTAATTCCTGGAAGAGGGGTGACCAGAAAGAGCTAGTGATCCCTTCAGCCAGAAGGATTTGGCAAACTTGGCCGCTGGAGCACTTCACTTGGTGTAAACATCAGGGACACAGTTGGTTATTGAAAATCTGTTCCCAATTGGAGTTAAGATGTCCACGTGGGTCTGCTGGAGTAGTTTAATGAAGTCCATGAAGAACCTCTTAGCTGTATTGGTATGTCACTGCTTGTGAATAAAACCTCAAGTTTGACCTGCACAGAAATTGTTGCTGACAATGCAAAAGATACGTGCATCTGTGCAATTACTAACCCAGCACATGTTCCAGCCTGATTGACTAAATTTTCTGCAGTCCTATGCAGTATCTTGAGAAAGCCTAGATTATGGAATATAGGACATCTAGTGAACACATCATAATGTGTATTAATACCTTATTTGGGATTTTTTTGCTCCGTTTAACCATGACACTTCTCCTGACCCTCCCAGCTGTAATTCATATCACTTGGAAGCCAGTCAAGATCTGCAATTCTTGTTTCTGTCACATTCCAGGGGTCATATTTTATCGGGAATTCCAAAGTGCAACTTTACTGAGTGTGTTCATGTTTCTGTTGGGGTAAGTGTATCAACCTAAAATCTGCACTAAGGTTTGTACTGAAACAGCATTGCCTTGTGGAATCTCTTGTCTCAGTAAGAAGAAACCCACCTTGCTATTAAAGTATTATGGAATAGCCATTATAGTAGGATAAAAAAAACATTAAAGGAAAGATTGATGTCTCTGCTTTGGGAGTTTGGAGGCCTGGTTTTGAATCCAAATATGTAAAAATGTGAGTCACTTGTGAACTACTAATCTCACGATGGAATGAAAAAGCAGCATCATGTGTTCTTCCAGCAGGAAGGAGAAGTCACTGCTCTCCACCAAACATCAAATTATAGGGGGTGCTTTTACAGCTGTAAGACATCTCCTCCCATGTTACTTTCTACTGGTGTGTCTGGCTGGTTTTTTCTGCCCCAAGGCATGGACAATTATATAAGCTGCTTGCCTACAAGGCACTACTGTAATAACTCTCCCCCATCTGTCTGTGTCAAGAAAGACACAGCATGCCTGCAGAAAACTTCAGAGCATGCTAAATATCTTTTTGAAGAATGGCCTAGGTGTTGTGAGAGGAGAAACCTTCTGCTGGCTATCAGCACCACAACAACTTTTGGAAGAGGTGACGGTTATAATAATGGACATGAAATGTTTAAAAGATCTCCTAAACTGCTGGAAGTGTCTTGCCACAGTGCTGTCAAATAAACAGGGCTGATAGCTACAGACATCTTCATCTTCTGCAGTTGGGCTGGAGTAGGTGCATACAGCCACTATCTTGTCTGACTGCTGGAAAAGACACAAAAATGGAGATGAGCAACCATGGATTTGGCAGCTAGGAGTTAGGGGTTGTGTGTCCAACACACAACGGATAGAGGATGTGTCCAGCCACAGCAGTTTTTCACTGCTCCTGGCTTACAGCCTGCCCCTGAGACACACAATCAAATGAGAAAAGCAACAGAGATGTCGATTGCCCGCAGCTAGGCTGAGTTGTTAATGAAATTGCACATGCTAGAATGCTAGCTTGGATGCTCTGTGAAGACTTGCTCAGGGATTCAAATGTTGAGGTCTCACACTTACAGGCATCTGATTAAGTATATATTGCTGGAAGTGTAATTTTGGCTGTGGAGCCTTTGGAACTGATAATAAAACTTCAGGAGGCAAAAACTAGACTGAAAGAAGCCCAAAATAAATTTACAGAGCTGCCAGGAAGAAGTATTTCTTTATAAACTCAGCAGCTTGGGTTTGGAAGTCCTTGAAAAAGAAACATGGAAAGAAATTCTCATCTCAGATGCAGTGAACTGTTTCTAATGATACTGTGCCACTGTTATTTTGCAGGTGTCTCCTATCTTTCCTTGGCGTGATTATAATTGCAAGAAATAAAAAAGAGGAGCATTTACAAATTCCTTTTATTGACTGTGGACATATTCCTGGTAAATAGGTCTTTTTTTCTGTCTCTGTTTAAATGAGGTATCAGATAATGAGATGACCTAGGAGAATTGAGTCACAAATATGCTTTAGTCATATTTAATAAATATACTGTTCACTTAATTTCTATTCCTGTTCCCAACAGATTTTTCAAAGAATTTTCCAGGGTTTCTCCAAGCTATTGTTACAACCAGTCAAATGAAAACAATGATTACTGGAGCAAAGAATGTTTAAATGATGGATTGGTGGGGAATTTGTTTTATTAAAATTCTTCACCAAGTTGTTGTTTTTTCCTTCTCTCACCACATTTCCTTAGGACAAAAACTGACAGGCAAAATACAACCAGATTCTCACTGTTCATGCTATGGCACACTGAATAAGGAAGACGACTTGGTGAAAAGGCAAAGCTGAAAGAAGAAAGCACTTTACATGCCAGTTAACCGGAGGAACACAACTGGAACAAGGATCAGTAGCACCTTCTTATTGAACATATTCAAGTACACATTGAATTCCTGGATGTTGATGAGTCATAGTATTATTTAATCCTAATTAGTTTATCCCATGATTATACCAAATGTGTTCTAAAGATAAAGGAAGCCTTAACAAAAACCAAATAACCATTAATGAAATGGAATATTCTCCTAGTATCAATGCCTCTTGAGGACATTTTTAGGGTTTTAATTGATTTTAAATGCAATGAGAATAGAACAGGATTATAAAAATTCCCCTTTGGAACCCCTCAGATCTGTGTAAATGTTTAAAGACAAAGGTGAGACATTTGAATTTTTGTAAGTGATTTCAAAGTATTCTGCTATATATATAATCCCTTTAAAACCCTTTCATTCCTGTTCAGGAGTCAAAACTGTAAGTATATATGAAGTAGACAAAAATAGAATTGTGTCTACTAAAATACAAAAATAATTTTGTATTTGGTGTAGAACAATCCTGATTATCTCCTACCATCAGATTAATTCTCTTATCTTCCAAGGAAATCAGTACTTATGTGAGGAGTGGGAAGATGGTGCTTGCCATAAACACAGGCAGGTGGGCACACACACACATTTGAGGTGCCCAGCCAAGGCAGGATTAGGGTACTGTATTTGACATTTTACATCCTCCCAGAGGAGTCCTGTGCAGTGGCTTCCATGATCTGTTAGCATAGTCTGGTCTGAGTTTTAACTTCTGTGAAGAAAATGCATGGTTCTTCAGAGGAAGTGGGGTAGCCAGGGTCCCTCTCTTGGTATGTCTTGGAAAAATACCTCTAAAAAATTTGGGCAACTCCTGTCACCACTGGTAATTCTGCATGAGGAAAGGCTGTAAAAAGCAGGGCCACAAAGAGTCACAGTAATTGTACAGTTTTCCCTTATTTAAATGGTTGTGTCTCCACACCGATTTGAAGAACCAGCAGTGATGGGAATAATGACAGTATAGGCTTTGTGTTCAGATTTGGGATGTATTGGTGTCTCTCCATCCCAGTATCCTACCAAAAAACTTCTTCAAGGAATTCATCATGGATGCACTTATTCCTCTGTGATAGTAGTGATCCACCTCAGGCAGCACAGAGGGGCTGGTCACATCCTCTGCCTAAACAAATGAAAGTGCTCTTGAAAAATGTTCATGTCTTGTTTTAGGATTGAATCAATCTGCAGTTATGGGTAGGGGCAGTAATGGGTAGAGGTCATAGACTGTGTACTTTGTTTCAGATCTGTTTTTTTTCTCAAATAATTGTATATTTAATTTTAAGATAGGTACAGCTGAAGATCCATAACACAGTTTTGTTTCAAATGCTGCAAAGCACACACAGAGCTGTAGTGTTTCGTGTGCAGCAGTGTCCCAGGAACTATGGCATTTGGGCACTTGTGAAGCTGTTTTTCAATATGGGTCTTTTCCAGCTGACACAGGATAAAACTCCGTGTCTGTACCTTACTTGTACCAACAGCTTGGCTTGGCCTTCCTTTCCCAACCAGCATCTTGAGTTCAAGTTTCTAAAGATTAAAATTAAAAAAGCACATTACTTTTACGGGCTTTGTCCAGGGAGTAAGGACATGCCTGTCTTTCTTTTGCAAGTCAAATTTAAGCTGCTTTCTAAGTCTCAAGTGAGAGTATGTGCTAAAGATGGAAATAAGAGGCCTACAAGTTTTCATTCTGTGACCTGGGAAACAAATGGGTGAAAGGATTTGGTATTGTTGTTTTGTTAAATGATTGGCCTTGGGCATCTTTCTGAAATCTGTTTCCATGGCTCAGGAGGACTGCAGGAGGTAATAAAGGTTACCAGCTGTAGGATTTTCTCTTTAAAGCAATAAATCAAATGTAAAAATCTGTAGCAAAAGTTATTTATTTTAAATTACTGGATTTCTTCTTGAACAAGTTTTTCCTTCCTATGGGTTTATTAAAAAAATTATAAGGGTTAAAGTGTTTTGTTTTATCTCTAGTGTATTTCAAAATAATTTGTGGACCAAAACACTGGTAGAAATTATGTGCAAATGAAAGTTGTGATTTGACACGATCTTTGAGATGTTAATGTATTCCAACTAATTAATGTATTACAGGATTGGAAAAACTCGGTTATGAGAATTCATTACTGCTCTGCCAAGAAACAGACATGACTTGTTTCAAGAATCAGTTTCTAATCAATGCTATTTTCAGATTCTGCTTGCCATACTTACATTGCAAACATCACAGACAAACGCCTGCTAAAAGAAAAGTCTTTGCACTGGAATAAAAAAACATCTCTGGAGCTCTTCTCCTTAATAACAAGTTATTTTCTTGCAGTGCTTTTCCTGACATCAAACATGTGGGCCAGGTAAGCTACAAAACTTACGCCTGCAGACTGAATTTTCCTGAACAGATCCTCCACGGGATCTGCAGAAATCAAACCAGGAGAAGGTGTGGTAGGCAGGCAGTGTCTCACGTGGTCCCTCAGGCTCCAGCTTGGGATTTTTGACAGACCAGGACCAGCAGGACTCATTTAGTGCTTGTTCCACTGCTGGTCACGCTGCAGCAAGAGATGAAGTATTAACTGGCCAGGGGCCTGGAAATGGGAGCTCTGGAGCATAGCAAGACTGTTTCATTTTTGCCATAAAATATCAGGATGTATTTACCAACAGTTTCAGCTAGCAAAAAATAAACAAAGTTTGGACTGGATTTATCTGTTTGCCCCTGGGAGGGGCTTGGTGTTCACCTGGCAGGCTGATTGCCTGCTACTCGCTCCAGCCCAGCTTTTGGCAGACTCACATTTTGCATAGAAGGGCACTGGTCGCCTAAAACCAAAGGAAAGAGGCCAAACTTTATAAGGGTTTGAGTTTCTGTGCTTTGAACCTATGGTTTCATGCACCTGGCAAGCTGCTTGAATGGATCAGCACTGCCAAAAGGCTCATCCTCTTCTTCTCAGCTGCAAGGTCTTGTGGCTTCCTGTGGCCAGTTAGCTCACCCATCCTGTAGAAAACATCTGCATCCTTCTGCTTGCTGGGGTAGCTCTCTGAAGTGACCCAACCAGACTGACTGGAACATGTGATGGGACAGATGTGAAAAGGGGGAGAGGGAATGAGGCCTCTCTTGCTTCAGGGGAACCATAATATTATTTCTCTCCTTCTGAGGATATTCTCTATACAGCAAGAATTCTGCTAAGATCACTCTTCTTGTATTACCATGCCCCAAAAGTAGCTGAGAGCTTCCTGAAACTCTTATAACTGCCAGATTAACTGGCTTGTATATACAGAGTGATGAATGGCCCCCAGTGGGACTAGGATAGGCAGCTTGTGGCAACCAGCAGTGTCCCAAGGTCAGCTAAAAGGCCGGACACACGTCTGACTATAAATTATTGTAAGGGCTAATTTTTTATTTTCAGTGACTGTTTGCAATGAAGTGTATAAACAGTGCTGGGAGAATGGACTGAAAAGTCTTCTATACTCAAACTGTTCTCATCCATGCAATGACTCCTTCCAGCCCTCTATGCAGGATTGATGGTTGCTTGCAGAGAAAAAATGCTCCCTTTTATAACACTGGGGTGCAGATGATTAGACTGAGCTGTCTGTCAGTGTGCCCTTTTGTTACTGTCCTCTGAGGCTTGACATTTTCTTGTTCAAATTTGTTTGTTCATTCCTTCTGCAGAAATCAGCTGGACTGTGTTAGCAACTAGCTGAAAGGAGATAGAGGCTAAGTACCATAATTATTATTGGAGAGCCAAGCTGGAAGATTTACAAACCAAGGCCATTTCAGGAGAAAAAGACTCCTGAATGTTTAGTGGTCTCCATTCTCAGGAGTTTGAGAAATCCTGAGTTTGTGATGTTTTTGGGTTCTGGGATAGAGTCAGGGACATCAGTGAATAAATAGTGATTTCATAGAATTTTTGTTGTGGTTTTAGTTTGGGTTTTGCTATTTTATTTATTTCCCACTAGTTTGGGAGTGAAGGATGACTGCTCTCTGCCTAGAGAAGCAGGAAGGAAATACAGTATCTTGGCAGATGGGAGATGTTTCAACCTTTTGAAGCTGGGAATTTGTAGAGGCACCTCCCAAGCACCTGGCTGATGTAACCTTTCGTTATAACATAAAAGGAGGCAGCACTGACAAATACATCACTTCATATTAAGCACTCCTGACCATGTAGGAAGGATCCTTGTCCTCTTGCCATGTGCTAAATCTGTTCAGAGCACATGTAGCCAATCTGGCCCCTCAGGCTGCACATTAACATATTATTGAGACATGCTAAATGGGATGCCCTGAGAATCGTATCAGTGCCTCTTGGGCATGTACTGTCTTTCATGCAGAGCTCTTGCTGGGTCTTCCCTTTAGGGAAATTAGGCTGTGTGATATCTATACAACACAGGATTGCTCTGATAAGAAGGTACACTACTGCCAGAATATTCCTATGACCTGGGAAGTGTTTATAGAGAGTGCTCAGCAAGGAAGTTTTGTAAACCTGTAGTCTTGGGTTACATTCCCTTTGCTTTCTAATTACCACTACAGTAAGCATGGACAGTTTTGGTATCCACAGAATCTCAAGAATCCCCAGGCCTAAGTAAAGGATTAGGTGGCTGCTGAGTAGGTTTTTTATTTAATCTAAATCCCAGTTTCACAATTAGGCCCCTAAAGCTTGTCCAAGACTTTCAAAGTGCATTTCATACTATAAATCTCCATCAGTATTTTGGTTGCTAATGGACTCAGGCATCAGTCCCAGGGGAATCTCTCAGTTCCCAAGGTAGCAATGGGAAGGATGCTGTTGGGCAGCAGACTCAGAAATGTATCGTGGTGGCAGAAAACTTTGCAAGAATACAGAGAAATTACTCCAGGGGGCCAGTAATGTATAGTGGTCTCCTGGGCTTCTTTTTGACAGTGTCAACAAGGCACTGTTGATAGTTTTCAAACTACAGCTACTGTAAAGGAATGATTAAACAGGTGGTGCTAACACTGACTGCTTTACATTAAGTCAATATATCACTCTCGTCCGTGGCACTAATACCTTAAATGTGAAAAGTGGCCTGTGGACCTTGATGAAGGAGCCAATTTCTGTACTTTGCTAAATCACTTTGGGAAAAATAGAAATGATTGATTTAAGCCTCCAGCACAAACATGCACTTGCCAGCTCTCCAGTTGAAGATTTCCACTCTTGGAATAGGCATTGCCTTGCCTAGATGAAATTTTTGCAGTCTGCGGCCAGGTCTTTTGCCAGAATCATTAAACTGCTTGAAATAACAGCACTGTCATTTGTCTTCCATTTGATAGCTTGTGGGCATAAATCCAGAGCAACATGAGCACAAGATCAGGAGTTTTCTCTCCATTTGAAAAAAAAAAAAATTAAGTTTTTCTTGAGTTTTAATAGCATGTGTACCAGGTACAGAGCTTTATGCTGTCTAATGCTCTCTAATGCCCTCAGCCATGAGCAGGAAAGAATGCTTGCATGACACAGAGGCTGCCAATTAAGCAGCTCTTACCTGTCATTGAAGGTCATGGCTGGTAACACATTGTATAGCAATTGAATACAAAACCACACTACTGGACCTTCTATTGATTTTTCAAGAACTGTTCTATGCCTTACAATGCAAAAGAGCTGAGGAGTATAATTTACTGTGATGAAGCACCGCAGTTACCCAGGTGTTTATTTTTTCCTGACAATATTTAACAGTGAACTAACAACACGTCCTCACAATACTGACTGGATTCTGGGTGCATGGATGTGTTGCAGGACTTTAATCAGCGCTGTGAATAATGAAAGATGTTGATATAAGAAGGCAGCTTTATGTCATCTGGCCTGGCCTCCTTTACAGTTCAAGTCAGGCAACCTCCTCCAAGCACTTGTGTGAACCCTTTGACCCATCTACAGAAGAAAACAGCCCATCCTCTCCTACTAGTTAAAGTAGAGGAACCACCAATGCCATTAGTAATTTTTACTAGCAGTGAGTCATTGTTTGCTTTTAAACTCTGCCTTATGTCTATTTTAACTTGTTTAGCTTGCAGCTATTTGCCTTTTGCCAGTGGTTTAAAGCACTTGGTATAAGTCCCTCTAGCAAAATACAGTATGATGTATTTTTCACTAAGCTAGAGACAAACCTTCTAAGTCTCTCACCATCAGATATTTCTGTCAACCCTCAAATTGTTTCCTGTGCTTGTTTTGTGTTTTCTCCATTTTTCTAGTGTCTGCATTTGGCCAAACACAAAATAAAAATCAGTTTGTAGCAGCACTGAAGAAGTGGGACAGAACAGGATGAGACCCAGCGTGCTGTGGTTGGATGCCTGGCTTCCCCACCTGCCACAGCTGCAGCCCTGCCACCTCTCCAGGGAGGTGCCTCTGCTCTGACACTGTAATTTATCGTCGGCTGTTTTGCATGGCCAGAGATGCAGCAGCCTCAGTTCTTTTCAGTGGCTTGATTTCTGACTCATTGCTGAGTCTGGTGGTGGTCCAAAGAGTAGGTGCCCCTGCCCAGAGGTCTCCAGGAGGTCCAGCACAGCAGAAGACTTTGAAAGCCTCTGGCCCAGGGTCTGACACAGGTACAGTGGTACCTGGCAGTGGTAACAAGCAACATCACAGAGATGCCCTTTCTTCAGCACCTGAGAGATTTGAGGGCTCAGCCCAGATTTGGGAGGAGGGTGACTAATTCAGTGACTGTTTGAGGTGTGGTAAGTAAATACCACACTGGGAGGAGTGCCTGGATGTGGGGAGACCCAGGTCAGTTGGTCTCTTCTCAAGGATGGTGATGGTGCACCAGAGAGAAAAGATGTTGATAATTTGACAGATGTTAATATATGACAGAAAGATTTCTGCTCTCTCTGACCCTCACTGCTCACAGCCTCACAGTGAGCCTGTGTTC